GCACAAAGTGAGACTAGAATGACGTTATAGCGTTTTACTGTAATTTGTGCAGATGCAGACATAGCTTCCATAAATATTTTTGACCGACTTCCAAATATTCAAAGCGTGTCTGATTGGGATTAAATGTTAAACAGTGCAGCATAAAAAATAGCGTGTGTCGAGTTTGCTTTAAATCGATTTACATAATTTTAGCATAGGTTGCAGATTGACATGTCACTTATAGATAAAGATCACATATTTATGTTCGTTCAATTTCATGTCAATGTTCCTTCGAAAAAGCGACGCATTTCAGGATACATCAGTTTAATACACCCAAAGTGGTGAGGGGTATCATATAGTCGGCCCAGTCAGTGAAACGCAATAATGAGAAATCATGGGAATTGATATTACTGTATGCGTTTCGCAAATCGGGATATATTCCCCAAATTATATCAAGATGATCTATACGTTGTACCACACTATAATTAATTCATGCCTCAATTAATTGTATTATGAATATATATTAAATTATCTTTACCATCCTCAGTTACCACAAAATATATTTTTTTCTAATGGTACACCACGGACGGAATGTGCAACTAAAACAAATATGCAAAAAAAAGAAAAATAAAAAAAATTAAAAATTGCCATGCCATTGTAAGATCGACCTGAGGCTAACCAAAAATTCATCTTCGTTTATTCCATTGTAACCTTAATTATGGTTAGCCATGGGCAGGGTAGCGTTTAAAATAAACAAAGCCTCCATCAAAGCTACAACAACAGCAACAATGTAACCACTAGCCACTCGTTTGTTGATAAGCCTATTTTGCCAAATAAACATTGCCACGGCGGTTATTGCAGGACAGTTTACAAGGCAAACATAATTATGGCAGACACGATGCGGTAAATATAATTGTTTCCTTGGAATAATTATATCTTAGATTAAAGGGCAATAGACTGACGGAAACAATTACAACATTTAAGAATTAATTTAATAATAATAATAGTAAAAAAGTCGTTAAATTTGGCCAGGCTAAACTTTTTTATATTTCACAACTTTTTTATATTTCACAATTTTGTTTATATTTCACAAAAAATATATTCACCACACTGAGGTGCAGGGTGTTATGTCTTTGTGCATATTTTTGTGACAGGCAAAACGAATCGAGATCGATCAATGATTCCCTTTGAAAATATGCATAGAATCACTTTCTGAGTCGATATATGAATTTCCGCGAAGTACGGGTCGCATTATTAGCAAATTTGGATAAAATTTGGCACAGGTCACTTATTTGACGAAGGACGGACCCAAAGACGAAACCTATTGAAATTGGAGAAAATCAGTTTAGAATTAGATATAGCCCCCATATATATTTTCATCCGATTTTATGTAAATGGAGCACCATACTGCCAATATTGGTCCGATTGACACAAAACATTGCGCAGCGTACTGAATTAGATCCAGATTGATCTACGTGTTTGAATTTCACGCATTTCGCTGCTTTGAAATTGCTTAGACAAGGTGGTTATCAACACCAAATCGGCCGAGACCATATTTTTTCGATTATCACAGCAATATATGTCGCATTGCTTAAAAGGAGTTTGCGAGGTGATTGAGCGAATCATTTGTCCCAAGCACATACATTTTGAGGTAACCGCGGAAAAGGAAATTGAAACAAAAATATCCTTTTTCTATACGTGTGGAATTCCTTCGATGATTGGGGCAGTAAATGGCACCCATATACAAATGATTCGACCATACTTAGAGATGGTATTTACCGGGTAAATACCAAAGTGGTGGGTAAATACCCAATTGCGGGTATTTATTTGGGTATTTATTATATTGAATCGGTAATAGAACATCATACACCCTATTTCCGGGTTTCTGTTATCAAATCGATTTAGAAGGGATAGTTTTACGATACTTTAAAGACGTGGGTAAATACTTGGGTAATTACCCGAGTATTTCCCCAAAAATTGGGTATAAACTCATTAACTGCCGAACCATTTGACATAGGCGGCCAAAATTTTGCTTACATGTTTTCAATGTCAAAGCAAATATAGAAATCCCAAATGGGGTCCCTGGGTCCAAGTTTTGATATAGCCCCCATATACGACCATTTTACGACCAAATTAGCTGTAATTTGGCACATAGAGTTCTCTTTGGGTACCAAATATCCAAAAATTGGGTATAAACTCATTAACTGCCAAACCACTTGACATAGGCGGCCAAAATTTGGCTCAGATGGTTTTCATATCAATGGAAATACTGGTATGGGAAATGGGATCTCTGGGTCCCAGATTTGATATAGCCCCCATATAACCGTACCTCCCGATTTAAGGTATTTTTTGTCTATGAAACACATTTTACTACCAAATTGGCTGTAATTTGGCACAGAGAGTTCTATTTGGGTACCAAAAGTCCATGCACAAAATTATGTATGTAGGTCCACGTTTACTGGTAGCCCCCATAAAAAAATAGGGGTACCTATTTTGAGTATTTACCCAAAAATACTGTATACACTCATTAACTGCCGAACCACTTGACATAGGCAGCCAAAATTTGGCTCAGATGGTTTTTAGATCAATACAGATAATGGTGCGGGAAATGGGGTCCCTGGGTCCAAGTTTTGAAATATAACCATACCTCCCGATTTGAGGTATTTTTTGTCTATTAGAAACATTTGATTGGCTGGAATTTGGCTCAGAGAGTTCTCTATGAGTACCAATTGTCTACGCTGGTCCACGTTTTCTGTCCTATATAACGGTCCTGATTTTGGGTATTTATATATATTTATGAACTCTTTAAATGCCGAACCACTTGACGTGTGTTTTGAAGAGTCCATTTCCCATACAGGAAATAATGTTGATATTTGAACCATTTGTCTTTCGCATGAATATTTTGTGGAAATAGAGGTCTCACAATGTCAAATTATAACCAATTTGATCGCAAAATGTGTCTAATGGACAAAAAGTACCTTTAATCGGGAGATACGGTTATATGGGAGCTATATCACAACTTTGACCCAGGAACCACAGATTCCACTTCAATGTTTGCTTTGACATTAGAAACATGGAAGCAAAATGTTGGCCGCCTATATCAAGTGGTTTGCCAGTAAATACTCAAAATACAAAATACATTTTTGCATGGATATTTGGTACCCAAAGAGAACTCTCTATGCCAAATTACAACTAATTTGGTAGTAAAATGTGTCTAATACACAAAAAATAACTTAAATTGGGACATACGTCTATATCAAAACTATCAAAACTTGGACCCAGGGACCCCATTTCCCGCACCATTACTTGTATTGATATAAAAACCATCTGAGCCAAATTTTGGCCGCCTATGTCAAGTGGTTTGCCAGTTAATGAGTTTATACCCAATTTTAAAGTAAATACTGAAAATAGGGGAACCTTTGTATGGGGGCTACCAGTAAAAGTGGACCTACATAAATAATTTTTTGCATGGACATTTGATACCCAAAGAGAACACTCTGTGCCGAATTACAACCAATGTGGTTGTAAAGTGTGTCTAATAGACAAAATATACCTTAAATCGGGAGATACGGTTATATGGGGGCTATATCAAAACTTGGACCCAGGGACCGATTTTGGATTTCTATAATTGCTTAGACATTAAAAAACATGTAAGCAAAATTTTGGCCACATATGTCAAGTGGTTCGGCAGTTAATGAGTTGACACCCAATTTTTGGGTAAATACTCTGGTATTTACCCACGTCTTTAAAGTATCGTAAAACTATCCATTCTAAATCCATTTGATAACAGAAACCCGGAAATAGGGTGTACGATGTTGGATTACCGATTCAATATAGTAAATATCCACAAATGGGTATTTACCCAATTTACCGGGTATTTACCCTTTGGGAATTTACCCACTGTCCATCTCTAACCATAGTGGAACAAACATCTATACTTTAACAGAAAATTAAAGCACAGTATGAAAGCTATGGTGGTATGAGAGTTTTTATGTATGAATGGGGCTTATTATAAATTATTTTCATTTTTTTTCCAACGCAAAGCAAAAAATTAAAAGAAAGTTTCGAAAAAGGAGAGAATGGATATTGGCTGATTGCTGATAAACTTTAAGCAAGTTTCAATGATTTTTCCATACAGAAACGCGGCGGAGAACTAGCCCCAGAGTAGTTTTAATAACAAATTTTGCAAATAACAAATTTTGCATTATTGAAAGAGTGTGTGGTGTTTTGAAAGACAGATTTCGGTGCAGCTTGAGAGTTGCATTACGCACCCTTTTTGCCAAATCGCTGTGTTGCAACATAAAATCTACAAAAGTTTGGAACTGACAATGCTGAATTAGAGAGTACCAATTACTCGATCCGATACAATTTTTGTTACGCATCGCAATACAGAGTAAATGCACATAACTTTTATCGGAACTTTTTTATTTCGTCGTTATAAACACTATAAATGTTTTTTAAACCATATTCCTTACCAAATTCCCAGCCACATTAAATATGCCGAATTTTTCCCACCTTTAATTCTAAATTTTACAACCTATTTTTATTATATTTAGTTTCATCCTGAATGTTATTTCTATACCATTTAAAAAAAAAAATCCTAAACTTGTATTTAAAAAAAATATTAGATATTGGTATTCAATTACAGTGATGTTAAGCTCTTTGACTCAAGGGGACCCCCCCCATATATATATGTTCAATGTTACAAACCTTAACAAGCATTGGTATTCATTTACCAGCCCATTTAAAATCTTAAAAAAATAAACAATCGAGAATGGGGGGGTTCCCTTAAAAAAAGAAAAAACCCCTTACGAAATTTCATACCATCATCACAATCCGAACATATTACATAGAAACTCAATTATTGCAAATTTTATATACAAATGCAACAATTACAACATTCAATGCTACCCTCCATCAACTTCAATTTTATTCCAATAATGTGTCAACATTTGATGTGAAACCCAAAAAAAATAACAACCCAATTGCCACAGTTATTTACACAAAAAAAATGAAAAACATTTTCTGGTTTTTCTTAATTGTATTTTCATTTGTTATATGCGTTTACAATTTCAACAATACTAACGTACGTTCCGACCACACCACCCAAAGCACCAAATGCCACAAGTAATAAATTTTTGGTTAATCTTATCTTCCATGGACCATAACCCGTCGTGTACTGGACGCAAATCTGCAACAAGGCTGGGAATATTAAACCCAAAATCGACAAACAAAACGAGCCGACCAGTGACAGGAACAACGATAAATCCGGTATGGCAACAGCAAAACAAACTGCAATGAATAAAAAAAGAATAGAAACAAAATAAAAATGTTTTTTGTCTCATTCGCTTTATAACAAAATTGAATTATTGGCTGTTCGGTTTTGGGTATATCACTTAAATTATATGCAAATAAAATCAGTAAGGAAAGGACCATGGTCGAACGGAGGGGAACTGCACCGAATATTATAGATAGTAATAAATCGATTCATTTAAATATAATTTCGTAGTTTTTCAAATGAATTAATCCGCACCAGCAAGGAAAGGACCATAGTCGGAAGGGGGAGGACATGAAATCAGACGAAATTGTGTTTGGGAGCTATATATAAATAAATATGTTTAAAACAAAATTTACACGCGTCATTCAAAACGCCATTCTTACGCTTTTTTTTTGGTTTCTAAGATGGTGGCTATACAACGATGTTATACCATTTGATAAATTTCGAAATAATCAATGTCACTGATGTTGCCAAGTTTTGAAATCACGATAGTGATCAAATTATTTGAGCGTAGTATTTTTATAGACAAAATGTAGCTTACTGCTACTACTCTTCCACAAAGGAATATATTGGTTCAAGTTTTGTATACACCCCATATTACCGTACCACCGTATTTTTTCGTTGTTCGCTTTTTTTTTCGGACCATTTTTAATTGTATTAATATGGAGGGTGAAAGAAGTTTTTACGTAATATTTTCTATATAGAACCATGTATAGGTACCACTTCTGTTTAGGTATTGCCGTGGTTCTAGACGCATATTGCAATCGAAGTTGCTGTAATTTGGTAATCCGGGATCTTAAAGGATATAAAACATCTTCGCCCGAAATTTTCGATAAAGGTCCACACAGAAAAAACATTTAATGAATATTTTCATTATTTCATTTATAGGTAATTTTTTCCATATTCCGCATGTACCTCGCAAGTAAAAATTCTTATAATAAGAGGCTAACATATTTTCCAAAAAATTAAACATTTAATTATTATTACAACGATTTTCCTACTTCGTTCAACTTTAGCACTATTTACTCTAATCTCTCTCATTTCGACAAAAAATGGCTCCCAAAGAAAAAACACCATTCATTGTTTTGTCGCGTTTTGTTTTTGGTATCGTTCTCCCTCCTCTCTTCTTACTTGGCGTTTCTAATTTTTGCAATCGTTTGGTTGATTACAACAACCGCCGACTTTCCACTGACTCAATTATGACTAGTTTTTCATTACATTGTTTCTTGCATACACTCATACCGACCTCTGCATTGGTGTTACAAAATTCGCATATATATTTTCCAAATTATTTCGAGTGATGAAACTAACAACAAGCCCAAGCGAATGCTTATTATTGTATATGATTGACGTAGAACATGAACCAGAAGTAAATAAAATCAACATAGAAAAAAACAAAGATTTTCTGTGCAACCCGCCACCACCACCAAACACACTTCAGAGTTATTTTTGTCACTATCTCGGACAAGAAAATGGTAATTAAAGTTTTATGAATTGTATTCATGACATGCAGAAATCCCGACATTGACAACACTTTTTTAACACTATCCATATAATATCCGTATTATTAAACCCTTTACCACTCTATGGTGCAGGGTATTATGTCTTCGCTCATATGTTTGTAACAAACAAAAGGAATCGAGATAGACCCATGAATACTTTTAAGAATATACAAAGAATCACTTTCTGAGTCGATTTATACATGTCCTTCCGGTCGTCCGTCTGTCTGTCCATGTTAAATTTTAAACAAATTGCTGGTCGCATTTGATGAAATTTGGCACAGATCATTTATTTGCCCCAAGGACGAACCCTATTGTCTATAACACCATTTTACCTCTATTACAACAACACATGACTTGTGCGATCATCAATACAAACAAACAACCATCTATGTTTACTCATTCCACCATTGTAACTTCAGTGCATTTTGCACTGTAGAGTGAGTGAATAATTCTCATTCACTCAATAAAGCCATATGGATAAGTGTTCCACTTTTCATCACTAAAGGGGTCGAGAACCAGAGTTAGCGAACCGTACAAGTGAAGTCGACGTGTGGCAGCTGGCGGTGGACAGCTCACCGCCAGCTACATGCTTATAGCCAGCAATTTTAAATGCAAAAAGTCGGTTAGTCGAAAGTCGATTTACTTATCCCTAGCCAGCAACACGCTCGTAGATCGCTCATAGCCAGCTTTACGCCCGCAGCCAGCTTCCCACATCCAACTCGCTCCCGCGTTCAGCTCGCTCCTGCACACTGCCTGCTCCTACATATAACCGTTCCAGTTTTCAACACGCTCCAGTACCTAACTCGCTCCTGTACTCTACCCGCTCTTACATATAACCGTTCCTGTTTTCAACACGCTCCAGCACCTAACTTGCTCCCATACTCTACCCGCTCCTACATATAACCGTTCGCTCCAGCATCTCCGCCCCCACTACAAAGCTGCAAAGGCCAACGGTCGAGAGTAATTATTGTTAAACCATATACAAATAACCACCTGAATTTACACACATTATCCATTGTCTCAACATCCCAGTATTGTAATAAAAGATACAGTCATCTACAACTCGTGTTATTATTTAAGGTTTGTGGGTCCTTGAATTGACCCTGGCAACGGTTGAGCTTACCTCAGCCCTAGATAAAACCACTCGTTATAAAATTTGTGAAAATCGGTTCAGATTTAGATATAGCTTCCATACATATTTTCGTCAGATTTTTACCAAATGGTTCACTAAAGAATTCAATTTTGTCTCATTGCACACAAACGAATCTAAATCTACCCAAATGACATCGAATTTGACATAGGTTACCGAGAACATGTGTTTAGATTGATGTACCAAAGATGAGCCCATTGTACGAAATTTAAGCGAATTCGATTAAAAAGCACGCTCAAGAACCCTAAAAATACCGAAAATTGGGAATACCTTATGGGAGCTACCAGAAAAAGTGGACCGATATTTATAATTTTTGGTGAAGACATTTGATAACCAATAAGAACCAATTGTACCAAATTTCAGCGAATTCGCTTGAATAGCACTTCAAGAACCCAAAAATTAGGGAAGGGGTACCCTTATATGCCTATGCGTGGGCCGATAAAGCTAATCTTCGAACTTAACCACCCTGCAGACAAAATACAACGATATGCAAAATTTTGGCGATCTATCTCAATATACCCTCCACCATAGTAAAGTACAAATGTAACCGGCCATTGGTCGTACGGCTATGTCGTCCACTTGTAGTCCACTATGTAGTCCACTTTCATGTCAATGGTCCTTAAGAAATACGAGGTATGTTGGGATGCATCTCTTGAACATAGACAAAGTTGTCAGACTTTACTAATTCCCTTACTGATTTTTTTCTGTGCATGCTTTGGCCTCCATACAAAAGTCAGGACCAACTTTAGGTATTTGGTCATATTTTCCCACGGAAGTGGCTGCAATTCTTGAAGGGAGAAAATATTTTTGCAATTGCGATTGAGGTCAATGTATTGTATCCATATAAATATTCGGTCCAATTTTGGGCATTTTTTAGGTTTTAGCAGCATTTTCCAACATAACGTGCTGAAATTTGCCAAATTTATCTTTGGGTATTTAATGGTCCAGGGTTCCTTTTCCAACCGAAGTGAAAACATAGTCGGTCATTGGTGAAGTTTCAACCAATGAATCTTATCTAAAAAAATTTTCAAATATTTCCACTTACATGTTAATATCACAACCATTGCTCGAATCAATAGTTCATAGAGTGCATGTTTCGTGGTGTCCTTCACACGTTTCGATAGATATTTATTCCAAATAATATCAGCTGTTACATAGCCCTGCAGGGCATACGATATCCAGGTAGTAATGGCAAATAGAATTTTAGTTACTTGTGCTAAACTGAAAAGAAAGGTACAAATTTTAAATTATTTCAATTGGATATGTGTTAAAATGCACATGTATTTGTTGCAGTTTTGCAGATAACTTATATAATTTTATTATGCCCCCTATGTAAACTTTTAAAATTCACATACACGTGTCTTCTATTCTCTATCAGATTTTTTTTTTTGAATTTCCAGATAATAATTATGCCAATTATTAAACTAAATTGTTAAAAAATATATATTTAAGACTCTGCCACTTAAATTTATTTCATAGAATTTTATAATTTGAAATACATTTTTATTTTTTTAAAACAAAATGCCTTCAATTCATAACTTCGACCTTATTCAATTATCATCCCAACCACCCCAAATTGCAACAAATACTTACATTTTTTCCTGTGGTATATTTAATGTTACACTGCCCATAGCATCATCTCCGTATCGCCAATAGCCAAAAAATCCCAATGTAATATACAGCGAGAGGACAATGAGCATTCCCATATTCATGATGCCAAACGGTTTCAAATAGGCTTTGGGTGTGGCCATATTCTCTTCGATGGCCAGTATCTGTAAATAGAGAGTGGAGGATAAGGCAAAGTAAAATGTAAAAACGTAACAAATAATATTTTCTAGAAACAGCAGAATTCTAGCAAATCAAACAAACGACAGTTCAAGGAAACCAACAGACAAAGGCATAAATTGTTTCAGGCTAATTAATTGTGACTGCCAGTGCCAAAACGCCATAAAGCGGAATGGACAAAATTTAATATTGTCCTTTTGTAAATGTTTTCATAATAATCTTAATTGTTTTGTGGTTTTGGATTTAATGCGATGGTTTGCCATTTAATATCCTTGCAGTGTCATTGAAACTCATACTCCCCAACCAAACCCACACACCCGCACCCACACAATTAACATACCACACCAACAGCTTCCAAGGCAAAGAGCACAGTACCAAAGAATATGGGTAATTTGGATAGAGCTTCAACTGCTTTACGCTCCGACAACGGTGGCAGCTCATCAAAAATATAATAGAGAATTACACCGAAACCTTAAAAATGAAATTTTTCTTAATAATTATATTTGGTGATGTTGAGGAAAATTACTTACCCACTAATAACAAAAGATTGGCAAATGACGAAAACGGTGCCAGAAGTTTTAAATTGCGAATACTGAATATCAAGAATAGCGGAACCAATACAAAACACATATGAATTCGCAAATCCAAAACAATTAAATGTTCATCGACAATTTGTTTTATACTTTCGGCAATGAAGACAACATAAACGCAACAGATACCGAAATGATAAAATGCCAGAAAACCATCGACAAAGGGTCTGGAAAAACGAAAAAAAACAAATTGAATATCATGTAATTTTCTACACAAGTACCAAATTTTTATAGAATGTTCTTTCTATCGAAAATGGAGATCTGCTTAATGGTTTGACGTTTAAATTTTTTTTAACAATAAGGTGAGGAACTTAAAGTAATAGGGGTAGGATGGGCCCATGGACTATAAGATAACTCACACCACTTACAGTATATAAAAATAGTGTTGGATTTAAATAAAACAGCATTCTATGCGGCAATCGGACTTATGTATATGCAAAATTTCTCATTTTGTCATAGCTTCCTTCATAGTTCCGTTCAATTTTTTTTATTTATTTATTTATTTTTTTTTTTTTTTTTTTTGTATTTTGAAGCCACATTTTCCCACTAAAGTAGCTATAATTTGACATTCCCATTTAGGTCTATGTTTCGACATTTCCGTCATATATAGGTCCGGGTTCTTGAATATTGAAAACCATTTTTGTAGACTGTTTTCGATATAGGTCCATGTTTTGACATTTACCCCATTTATATTAAATCGGACGAAAATATATTTATGGGAGCTATATCTAAATCTGATTCGATTTTCAGGAAACTAAACACGTATTATTCTACGATAAATTCAGTTCGCTATGCCAAATTTCGTGGAAATCGAAAGATATATAGGGACTTGGGTGCACCATTTACATTAAATCGGACGAAAATATATATGGGAGCTATATCTTAATCTGAATCAATGTTTAAGAAACTTAACGCACATTATTCTAGACTTAAGTCAGTACGTTATTCCAAATTTCGTGAAAATCGAAAGATATATAGGGACTTTGGTATAGCATTTACCTTAAATCGGGCGAAGATGAATGTGGGAGCTATTTCTAAATCGGAACCGATTTTTTTCCAAACTAAACTCACATCACTCTAGACTTAATTTAGTATGTTATGCCAAATTTCGAGCAAATCGAAAGATATATCGAGACTTCTTTAAACCATTTACATAAAATTGGACGAAAATATGTATAGGAGTTATATCTAAATCTGAACCGATTTTTACGAAACTTAGCATACATTATTCTAACCGCAGTTCAGTACGCTATGAATAGGGGCCTTGGTACACTATTCACATAAAATCGGACACAAATATATATAGGAGCTATATTTAAATCTAGACCGATTTTCACGAATCTTAGAACACCCTATACAAAATGTCGTGCAAATCGGAAGAATTATAGTGACTTTGGTGCCCTATCTACATAAAAACGCACGAAATTATATATGGGAGCTATATCTAACTCTAGACCGATTTTTCCCAATTTCAATTGGGTTCGTCCTTGGGTCAAATAAATGAACTGAGCTTAATTTTATCCAATTCGGATCAAAAAGGCGACATGTACTCTGTTTACAATTTACCGTGGACAGGTGGACAATCGGACGGACATGCATACATCGACTCAGAAAATAATTCTATGCTTATTCTCAAAAGGAACCACTTTAAAAATGTTTAAATCATCTCTTTTATATACCCAAATGAGGTGAAGGTTATCCTATAGTCGTCCTCGTTCAACCTTGGCCCTTCCCTTACTATTTTATATTAAATATTGAAATAAATTAATAAACAATATCTTACGTTGCTATCGGTATTATGCATTTGAAAATTGGTGGTCCCTCTCTGAATCCCATTGTCATGGCTTCGGAAAAAGTTAAATATGCCACACGTTTACGTTTGCATAGTTCGTACATGGAATTAATCTGTTAATCAAGAAAACAAAAGCACAAAAAACAATCTGTTAATTATATTATTATTGCATATTCAAAACTTTACGATTACTCACCAAAATGTGTAAACAATGAACTGCCAGGAAGCCAACAATAGCCGTCAGAACAAAACCGTTAACATAACCGGCATTGGCAAATGCACTCGGCATGGCCAGTACACCCGTACCTATGCTGGCCTTAAGAAAATGGGCAAATGTTTGCCAATTTCTAGAAAAGGGAACAAAATAAATTTCTCACACACAATTACAAACTTACCAAACTTGTATACTTACGTAGTGGGATTTTTAACATTACGATGTTCATGTGGATCGTAATCATCATTCACTTCGCTACACGATGCACTCTTATCCACCTGTCGCAGTGAAAGATCCAATGTTGAATCGACAATATTTTGTTGCGATTCGGTTCTAAACCAGAAAAGAAAGGAGATAAAAGCAAAATAAAACAAGTAATTTGTTTATGAGGTCTTATCAGAAATTAACGATTATTTTATGGGTTCTTAATTTATGACATGATTGTAAATCACATATCGTGAATTTGGTTTTGGGACAAATATTCGCTTCACTTATTTAATTTTTATGGTGACGATGATGATGATGATGAGCGAATGAGTGAGTGGCATGGCAATAACCGCAAATAATTATTTAATTAGAAATTTTGCCAACGCGTGAAATACTACGGTGGCCAGTTTTATAATTTGATATTGAAATTAAAAACAAACATCATAATTAAATAATTAGCCTGATATATAATATTTTACAAACAAATCGACATGCATACACACTGGCATACGTCATTTGTTTGAAGCCGCAGGGTGTTAAATGAAAATGTAATTAGCCTTGAGAAACACGAGTGTGGGAAGGATTAAAGACAGGCTGCACCACGTACAGTGGCAAGCAAAAGTGTACTGTAAAACATGGCGGGGAACGTTTGTTGGTTTGGGTATGTTCCACTTAGTGGAACTGTGGTTCACTCGTTTAGATAAAAGGTATATTAAAGAAGGAAGATTACCTAAATATTCTTCAAACCAATTAGCCACAAAATTGAGAGAAAAGTGCATATCTCGAGGAGGAGTTATCGAAAATTTATGGACGTTTTTAATGAGAAGACTGACAGTGTAAGATAAGAGGTTTAGATAAGAGGTATATTAAGGGAATCACCCAACACCCAAAATTTCAAGTGAAAATCTCAAGAACTCTTGAAGATATAGCCGATTTATTGTGTCAGCATCAAGTGACGGCAAGAGTGATTCTCAAACTTTAAACGAATTTTTCTCGAAACAGTGTCTTACGAATGGTGGGCACGATAACTCAAAAACTAATAATCCAATCGGTTCCGGAGTGTATAGGTCTTATATGAACTAGGATAAAGGCAATCGGTGAAATTATTTTCTTCCTTTTTAAATCTTCACATATATATGTGCAAAGTTACAAACCTTAACAAGCATTGGTATTCATTTCCCAGCGCGTTCCCTTAAGCGCGTTTTAAACCGAATTCGCTGAAATTTGGTAGAATGGGTTATTATTTGATACCAAATGGGTTCTTATTGGATACCAAATATATTAAAATAGTTAGCTGATTAGTTCCGTGTGTAGAGGTTGTCCCCATATAGGCGTATTCTACCATAGTATAGGGGATAGTCGTTACTCGAAATAGTCAGTTTTACCCTACAAATTATGGAATTCTAAGACTATTTAACCATCGGTTGTAATCATTCCGCTTTCTAAGGAAATCGTGATAAAAAAAAATCGAATGATAAAATATATAGGCGTCTCCCCCATATAATTATACCTCCCGAAGGAAAGAATTGAGACACAAAACAAAAATATTGGGTTCGTAATTGACATATGTCGGTCATTAATTAGGCATATACCTCGTATAATTATAACCCCAAATATTCGCTAATTCCTACACACTATGTAATTTAACATTGTAATCTAAATTGCAGTAGTTTGAGGATTGTATATACTACCATGCGTTCTTAGTATCAGTGCACGCTTTTGGGGGTTTTCATTAAAAATTGCGAAATGGATTACACAAACCGGTTTTGTATAATTATCGGTATAGGTTAATTTTTGGTATATTCCCTATATTTTCATTTCAAGTATCTGTCAGTATACCTATGGTGGATGGTATCCATAGTTCGGCCCGGCGGAACTTAACGTATTTGGCCGACTATATGATACCCTTTACCACTGTGGGTATATTCTATATATGTATCCTAACAGACGTTGCATTTTTGAATGAACATTGACATGAAGTTGAACGAACTTAAATATGTGACTAACATCAATCCCTACACATGTCATTCTGCAACTTATGCTAAATTTTGTAAATAGATTTAAAGCAAACTTGACACGGTATTTGGTATGCATTGTTTAACATTTAATCTCAATCAGACACCCATTAGGAGCTATAACTAAATCTGAACCGATTTTCACCAATTTCAATAGGGTTCATCATTAATTTAAATCGAATTATAAATGCGACCTTGTAAACAAAGTAAAATTTAAGGACGGACATGCATAAATCGACTCAGAAAGTAATTCTGGTCATATTCTCAAAAGGAACTATATGCCTATCTCTTTTCCACATGCACAAAGCTATAATACCCTGTGCCACAGTGTGGTGAATGTTATAAATACCCTTTATTTTAAATATTTTCAAAAAATAATTTTTTATTCCACAATAAGGATATTGTCCCCTTTAAAGTAATTCCTCTTCGATATAATACACTCATCCAGTGGTTTTTCCCCAATCATCGAAACACTTCTGAAACACGCATTTTCGTATAGTCAACAGCTCCTCTTTTGATTTTTCTATTATCTCTTCAATCGTAGCAATGCGTTTCATTGGAACCTTCAATTTTGTGAAGACTAAAAAATCAGATCAATTTATACGGATGTTTGAAGGCGTTTTGCAACCAAAAAGCCTGTAATTTGGAATTCCAGGTTCTTTGTAAACAAAAATATATGTGTATGTTAAGACAGAGGTCCCGATTAATTTCATGCTCAAGTTCCTAGCCTAATTTTAGAACCTTAGAGTATGTAATTATAACCTCTATCATAAGGTGAAGAGTGTAACGTGACCGTCACATAGCTCCATACATTTTTCTTATAAAATACCAGTAATATTACAACAACACATGACTTGTACGATCAACAATACAACCAAACAACCATCTATGTTTACTCATTCCCCCATTTTAACTTCAGTGCGTTTTGCACTGAAGAGTGAGTAAATAATTCTCATTCACTTAATAAAGCCATATGGATAAGTGTTCCACTTTTCATCACCGAAGTTGTCGAGAACCAGAGTTAGGGAACAGTACAAGTGAAGTTGGCGTATGGCAGGTCCGCAGTCATAGTATCTCGTCAGTAGGGATACGTAGTCGAGCGCAAAAGTCGACTTTTCGATTTTTGCCTCTGACTAGAGTTGTTCTATATAGCTCAGTTAGCTGATCGCTCTTTATAGTTCAGCTTATTTGACTGAACTAGTTCGTTCTTCTAGTTCAGTAGTTCAATCGTTCGTAATTATGCTCTTTTATTCAGCTGTCGTTTTACTTCGGTTGTTCTTTTAATATTTCTTCGCTCTCCGAATCGTTCAGTTGATAGTTTGTGTGAATAAAAGCAATATTACAATTTTGTAAAGCATTATTATGGACCTATATGGCGAGGATATTAAGAAGAAAAATTTAAGAACAGTTTATGGACCTATAATGTGCGAATTTTTAAATAAATGTTTCAAAAGAGTTGATAAAGTGGTGGAATAAAAAAGGTTCCAAAGAAAATGTGGACCTAAGAGGCGTAGATTTTTAAGAAAAGTTTCAGAATAATTGAATAATTACTTGCCAACATAAATGATAGGCAACATATTTTTATTTGTGTTTGCTAAATGAAAGCGCTGTTAATATCACATGAAAAATAAACCTCGATCGGCGTCGCTTCCATTTAGACCAAAACGAACTAGGTCAGTAAAACGCTCACATTTGAACTAAAAGGAACGATTATTCCAGTTCGTTCTTTTAATGAACTAAAAAGAACGAATTTGTAAGACTTAGTTCAAACGGTGTTTTAAGTGAATCGTTCATTTGAACTAGTTCGTTCGTGAACTGTACAACTCTACCTCTGACCAAAAAGTCGATTTTTAGACTTTTCGATTTTTGCCTTTGACTAAAAAGTCGACTTTTCGATCTTTTGATTTTGTCAAAACTGTTCAAAATCGATTTTCGGCTTTTACTGACTTCTGCAAAATTGACTAAATTTTCTCATAGATCAAAAGTCGACTTCGACTTTTAGACTTTTCAATACAAAAAGTCGAAAGTCGATTTACTACTTATCCCTACTCCTGTACTCTACCCGCTCCTACATATAACCGCTCCTGTATTCAAAACGCTCCAGCATCTAACTCGTTCTGCGTTCAGCTCGCTCCTGCGCTCTGCCCGCTCCTACATATAACCGTTCCTGTATTCAACACGCCCCTGCATTCAGCTCGCTCCTGCGCTCTGCCCGCTCCTGTATTCAACACGCTCCAGCACCTAACCCGCACCTATACTCTATCCGCTCCTACATATAACCGTTCCTGTATTCGAAACGCTCCAGCATCTAACCCGTCCCTGCGTTCAGCTCGCTCCTGTGCTCTGTCCTCTCCTATTTTCAACACGCTCCAGCATCTAACACGCTTCTGCGTTCCGCCCCCACTACAAAGCTGTAAAGGCCAACGGTCGAGAGTAATTACTGTTAACCCATATACAAATAACCACCTGAATTTACACACATTATCCATTGTCTTAAGATCCGAGAATTATAATAAAAGATACAGTCATATACAACTCGTGTTATTATTTAAAGTTTGTGGGTTCTTGAATTGACCCTGGTAACGGTTGAGCTTACCTCAGCCCTAGATAAAAACCACTCGTTATAAGAGTATATTAAATTTTTCATTCAATTTTCTATCGAAATATCGGTATCGAAATATTTACCGGAGACCTCATATGCACGTCCATCTGTCTGGCTATCAGATCTGCCTATGAAAAATTATCAATATTGTATTATATTTCGTGGTAGCCCCTATATAACCGCACCTACTCCAATATTCGCTATTTTTATGGTTTTGGACATATGTTTCTTCCTAATTGGTTGCAATTTGCTATTTTGGGTGTGGTATGGTAGTAAAAATTCTCTATTATGGTTCACCATTTAAGGTAGCCCCCATATAAAACTACACCCCAAAAAACGGTATTCTCGGGAGCTTAAGTACGTGTTTGAACCAAATTGTGAGGAATTTACTTATTTGGATTCTCATTAAGTAGAAAATGTAGAACACACTGAAAACACTTTTTATACCCTCCACCATAGTATGGAGGGTATATTAATTTTGTTTTTCCGTTTGTAACGCATCGAAATAATCATTTCCGACCCTATAAAGTATATATATATTCTTGATCAGCGTAAAATTCTATGACGATCTAGCCATGTCCGTCTGTCAGTCTGTCTGTTGTAATCACTCTAGCGTCTAAACGAATTGAGATAGATCGCCAAAATTTTGCATAGAGTCGTATTTTGTCTGCAGGCAGGTCAAGTTCGAAGATGGACTTTATCGGTCCACGTTTAGGCATAGCTCCCATATAAGGGTACCCCCCATATTTTCGGTATTTTGGGGTTCTTGAGCGCGTTTTTCAACCGAATTCGCTAAAATTTTGGGTTCTTATTGGGTACTCAATGTCTCCACAAAAAATTATAAATATAGGTCCACTTTTTCTGGTAGCCCCCATATAACGGTACCTACTAATTTTCAGTATTTTGGGGATTTTTAACGCCGAATTAGCTGTAATTTAGTATTTTGAGTTCTTAAAAGGTACCAAATCTCTCCACAAAAAATTATGAATATAGGTCCATTTTTTTCGGATAGCCCCCATATAAGGGTACCCCCCCCCCCAAATGTCGGTATTTTTGGGTTCTTGAACGCGTTTTTCAGCCGATTTCGCTGAAATTTGGTACATTTTGTTCCTATTGGCTGCCAATTATCTCCACCGAAAATTATAAATATAGGTCCAATTTTTCTGGTAGCCCCCATATAAGAGTACCCCCAATTTTCGCTATTTTGAGGTTCTTGAGCACGTTTTTCAACCGAATTCGCTGAAATTTGGTATTTTGTAGTCGAATATGGTAACAAATTTCTCTACAAAAAAATTTTAATATGCACCCCCTTTTTGGGGTAGTCCACATATAACCCCTTTTTTATATTAAAATAGTTATGCAATTTGTTCCGCGTTTTGGGTTTGGTTACAACAGAGTCTTAGAACCAAACCCAAAACGCGGAACAAATTGCATAACTATATCACCTGTGGAGGATATCGAGATAAAAAACTAGAACGTAAGGTTCGATAATGAACTATATATGAACTATAACCCGTATTTAAACCTAGCTCCTGTGTGGGATGTACCAGAAGGAGTTGACTGATATTCCCCATCTTCGAATTTGAACTAAGTTTGGAAATAATAATAAAATTGGCATAGTTTGGATGAAATGTATATTTTCTGAAACGGATTTGGTCCAAAGAAACATGGGCCTTATTTACTTAGATTAAAAAACGGGACTCCACCAACATTTATATAATAAAAATAAATAATCTTTTTTAATCTAAGTAAATAATAGAAAAATGACAAATAATTAAAGTAAGTTAAAAATAAGTGCAATATTTAAAATGTAATAAAAGAAATTACATCTTCATTTTTATTTTGTCAATATATTAATAAAATCAGCTCTTGAAAATGTTGGAAAAAAGCCAACGAAACGTCGAGCGAAATATGGAATAAAAGTCGTTTTATTTTCATAAAAAATTATCTGACCAGAAAAGCCCAACAAGAAACATAAAGATTCAATAAGAAAAAACATTGGTCAACAACAGAAATAGGAATATATAATAGTTTCCTCCGAAATAGTGCCCAATCCTCTTAACTAAATCTTCAATTCTAATTGATTGTAATTCTCGTATATGTGGTTCTGGTTTTACATGTATTCAATTTTTTAACCTTTTCCCATGATGTAAGATATTTTAATTTCGATACGTACAAAAAATGACATCAGTATTTGTTTCTTATTAATTTGTGCTTCTTTTTCTTGTTAAAATCATGATGTGTGTACGAATGCGTTTCATTAACAGTTGGCATGTGCCAATTTTATAAGCACGTGCATCAACAAATTCAAAGGTCATTAACATCTTAACACGAGTATGGTAAATAAAAAAATAATTATTTATTATTATTTTTTTATTTACTATAACAATTAAAATATTTCTCATTATTTGGTTATCCTGTGTTGTGTTTTTCATGTAATGCCACATTTTTTTCTGCAGCACGTCTGGTCATTTGAATTAATTAAGGTGTCACCATTTCAAAGGTCATCGGCATTATTGCAAAAGATTAGACGTCGTGGCGCTCATTTTTAATGACCTTACAATTTGAAGCATTACAGTATAATGTTATTTTCACAGCTGTAATTCAGATCATTCAGAAAGTATCAAATTCATATAGATAAGAATGGAGGGGAATTTATTAATTTGTACCAACTACTTCAGGTCAAGTATGAGATTGCTAAAACATTGTGATTGTTATCGCATCAGACACAACGAGTATCAGACCTTATTATATTTAGTATGTTGTAAAAAATTGATACAAGATTAATGGGCAATTATTTGGAAAAGTTGTCTGACATCTGTCATTACAGAGACGGATTAAACCAGTAAGGAAAGTAGAAAAGTCGGACCGGGCCGACTATATGATACCCTTCACCACTTTGGGTATATTGTACATATGTATCCTTACAATTACATGGCAATTTTCCCTCGAAGGAATATATCCCTGTCTTTCTGCAATCTATGATAAATTTAATTTGATTCGGCCAGATTTAGTATCGTATGCGTACTATGGGACAAATTTATGGAAAACGATTTATAGCAAATTTAATGTTAAAAATTTAATTTTAATCACAATTCGAACCACCAATTTCAATAAAACGCAATAAACATTGGGAGTTTGGTCCACCGTTTATGTAAAATCGGACTAATATATATGTATATGTGGGAGCTAAGTCGAGATCTGAATCGATTTTTCCGAAACTTACCACACATCATTCTGGACTTAATTATGTAGCCTATGCAAAATTTCACTCAAATCGAAAGATGTATAGGGACTTTTGTGCACCATTTACATAAAATCGAACGAAACTATATACGGGAGCTATATCTAAATTTGAACCGATTTTCACGAAACTTAGCACTCATCATTCTAGACCTAATTCATTACGCTGTGCCAAATTTCGTGCAAATCGAAAGATATTAAGGGAATTTGGTAGACCATCTACCTTAAATCGGACGAAATTATATATGGGAGCTATATCTAAATCTGAACAGATTTTTCCCAATTTCAATAGGGTTCATCTTTGGACCAAATAAGTAACATGTGCCAAGTTTCATCCAATTCGGATAATAAATGCGACCTGCACTTTGTTTACAATTTAACATGGACAGACGGGGGGTTCTTTGGCGCGCTTTTCAACCGAATTCTCTGAAACTTGGTACATTAGGTTCATTTTTGGTACTAAATGTCTCCACTAAAAATTAAAAATATCGTTCCACTTTTTCGGGTAGCCCCCATATAAGGGCACACCCAATTTTCGGTATTTTGGGGTTCTTGAGCGTATTTTTCAACCGAATTTGCTGTAATACCCGTTTAGGGGTAGTTCCCATATAACCCCCATTTTATATTAAAATAGTTAGCTGATTAGTTCCGTGTGTACGCCATATAAACGTATTCTGCCATAGAATGGGGGATTGTCGTTACTCGAAATCGTCAGTTTTACCCTACAAATTATTTCTATGGAAATCGTGATAAAAAACTTGAACCTGGCGATAATGAAATATATCGGCCAGCATTTGGGCATCTCCTCCATATAATTATACCTCCTGAAGGAATGAATGGAGAAACAAAACTAAAATATTGGGTATGAAATTGGCATATGTCGGTCATTAATTAGGCATAGCCCTCATTTAATTATAACCCCAAATATTCGCTAATTCATACATAATGTAATATGACTTTGTAGTCTAAATTGCATCCAAAATTCTTCAAATCGATCGGAACGTGTATATGGAAAATATGTTATGTGATTGCAGCTTATTCATGCTTCAAGAAACAGTGTTCCGAATTACTGGCAATCTAGTTTCAAAACGTTAACGGGACTTTTTAAATTTATTTTTATTCACCAGGAATACCATACACCAAATCATAGAAAAATGGGTTAAAAATGTATTTCTATTGAAAAACAAACGGAAATTTTTTTGTGGTATTATAACAAAACTTGGACCTAAATATAGAACGCACAAGTTTGTATATAAGGCAGCCTTCCACAATCCCATATATACTCTTGTCCGATTTAGTGTAAATGGTGCACCAAAGTCCATATATATAATTCAATTTGTATGAAATTTGGCATAGCGTACTAAATTATGTCTAGAATAGTTTGTGCTGGGTTTCGGGAAAATGGATTCAGAATTAGATATGTCTCCCATATATATGTTGAACTGATTTTCACGAAACTTTGCACACAAAATTTTAGACTCAATTCAGTACGGTGTGGCAAATTTCAAGCAAATCGAAGAAAAATTAGAGACTTTGGTGCACCATTTACAATAAATAGGACGAAAATATATATGGAAGCTATGTCTAAATCTGAACCGAATTTCACGAAACTAAGCACACATCATTCTAGTCTCAATTCCGTACGCTATGCCAAATTTCGTGCAAATCGAAAGAAAAGTAAGGACTTTGGTGCAGCATTTACATTAAATCGAACGAAAATATATATGGGAGCTATATCTAAATCTGAACAGATTTTCACGAAACTTAGCACGCATCATTTTTAACTGAATTCAGTACGCTATTCAAAATGTCGAGCAAATCGAAGGAAAAATAGGGACTTGGTGCACCATTTATTAATATATCGGACGAATAAATATATGGGAGCTATATTGAAATTTAAACCGATTTTTCCCAATTTCAATATGGTTCGTCCTTGGGCTAAATAAATGAGCTGTGCCAATTCGGATCATAAATGCGACCTGCACTTTGTTTACAATTTAACATCAACGTCTGTTCATGATAAAAGACCTACGGACATGCATAAATCGATTAAAAATTGATTCTATGCATATTCTCTTAAGGAACCATGTGTCTCTATCGTTTCCTTTTGCCTGTTACAAACATATGCACAAAAATATAATACTCTGTACCACAGTGTGGTGAAGTGTATAATAACTGAAAATTATAAATTGACACTAGCAAAGTAAATAAACCAACACGAGCAAAAGCGTGTCAATTGTCATTTATTGTGATTGTTCATGATAACCAAAGTAGTGATTGTTAATGTTATTATTTTTTGCACTATAATATAATCCAACATATCGCGGAAAATGTACCACCATTC